ACCGGAACGTACCCTGGGTACGGTCCGGTATACCGGAACGTACCCTGGTAACTATCTGATATGCACGTTAGTGTTAGGGTTTGAGTTAGGGTTAGGGTTAGGGAGTAGGCGTAGGCGACTCCCTAGACTCGTTAGTGGAGTAGGCGAGGTACGCGTACGGTCCGGCATATCAGATAGTTACCAGGGTACGTTCCGGTATACCGGACCGTACCCAGGGTACGTTCCGGCAGTACCCTGGGGGACATAGACCCTCTCAGCGTCAATGACCCTCATCTTTCTACACCGGGCGACAGACAACCACATGCTTTGCAGCCAGCAAAGCTTTTAATTGAGAAAAACATAAATATTTTTCACTCAATACAATGCGTGATTACATTAGGTTTATTTTTACGTGCATATAAATTCATTAGCCTGTATAGGAGTACCGGTAAATTAATTATGCATGGGCGAGTGCTATTTTGAAAAATAAGTGAACTTCACAGCTGTTCACAAATCCATGAATTACACATCGGTGCTCACAATAAAAACCATGTGAATCTGTTTATAAATATATGTTTTAAGTTAAGAATAAAATTAACACCATTTATAGATAATTAAACATTTTTAAAGCTTGTATATAAATCACGAGATGAATGCGATTGTACATCACATGACATGCATCCAACACCATACAGACTGTACAACACCATACAGACTGTACAACACCATACAGACAACACCATACAGACTGCAATATGTTATGATCATAATGATTCATAAAGTTCAGTGACATACAAATTACATTTTCAAAACATGCGGGTGCAGGCGCAGGGTGGCATGCGCAGCATCCACTAACGTTATACTACTAGGACATGATTTTATCAGCGAACATGTTTAAAAAATGCATGCATGCATGTTTGCTTGCATGCATATCTTCCCATTTTAAAATTTAAAAAACGATATTACCGCCTGCGGCAACTGTACGCAGGCTATAGTCCTAGAGCTACTTAGGATCAAGAGCGTATAAAGAAGGAGAGCGTACAACGGTGAAATGCTGAAACCATGTTGCAGTATTAGTCGAATTAATAAACTTTCCCTGTTTTATTTTGACGATTCTTTGCAGTATTATTTATCAGCTGTCGTACCTTGTTCATATAAAACAAACCGCATGTCCCTACGATGCCCCTACGCTGAGATAATGAGCGGTGAAAATCTGGTATTTTCGCCAAACACCGACTCGACATTAATTAGTCAGTACTGCGACCGACTCGCGTTCTGTGCAATGTATGTTGCTTCCGGTCTCGGCTGTGTAGCGCTGACTCGATACGTTATTACTACAGCGCTACTGCATCCAGCGTAAGGGGCGGGTCATCACCATGGCGATAAATAACAAGACGTTTTTATGGAGTAATGGCTGCGTCAATGACTGGAAATGCGAGAAAAGATAGTAGAAGGAAAATAAATTTCATTGTCAATAAATGACGGAAACACGCGAGGTTTCACAGAGCTATCGCCAGAACGCGAGTCGGTCACAGTACTGACTAATGTCGAGTCGGTGTTCGGCGAAAATACCAGATTTTCACCGCTCATTATCTCAGCGTAGGGGCATCGTAGGGACATGCGGTTTGTTTTATATGAACAAGGTAGGACAGCTGATCAATAATACTGCAAAGAATCGTCAAAATAAAATGGGGAGTTTATTAATTCGACTAATACTGCAACATGGTTTCAGCATTTCACCGTTGTAAGCTCTCCTTCTTTTAATATACGCTCTTGGCTGGTGCTGAAAATATCAGTATTTGACAATGATCATCTCAAAGCAGCTTAAGAAAACAAGTTAAAATCCATCAGAATATTAGAAACCCCGACAACAGTCAATTCCGTAACTATTATATATTTACCTTGGAAAGGCATCGAAGAACCAAGTCCGCTTAGTGTCAGGAAATGCCACTCTCATACCAGACATTAGTGGGGAGTGCAGAATGACGGCTCCTACTTCATACCTCGATGCGAGATCTATCGTCGGGACAGTACCTATACTCTGTCCGTAGAGTATGATGTTTTCAGGGCTGATGCCGTACCTCGTCCGCAGCGTCTGCCACGCCGCATCAATGTCCGAGTACAGGTTCTTCTCTGATGGCTTACCAGTGCTGTAGCCATAACCAGAGTAGTCGTAGCTAAACACATTGCAGTTTATTCGGGACCCCAGGCCAATATAGAAACTGCTCATCTGACCAAGATCTACGGCATTTCCGTGGCTGAACAGTAACGTGAACCGGGCGTTTGGTGAGCAGCGTACAAACATGCAGGCTATCCGCTTTCCTTTGTCAGTTCTCGTCATGAAAACTTCGATTTTCTCCAGTTCTTTTTGCGTGTACTGCCATTCTGCTCGCTCGTTGAGATGAAGTGTATATTTAGACCCCGTTTCATCAGCGATCAATGAGTACGTAGGTTCCGGCGGAAGAAAAGCGAGCTTAGCAGCAATTTTGCCAGGACACGGTGGACAACAAAACAGACAACACAGCTCGCTTAGCGAAAGACCGTTCATCGTGGCAGATAAACTCACTGGAGTGTCACAAGTTTCTCTGACGGCTCTTAATCCACTAGTTACACTTCCTACAAAATTGCTAACTATATCTGCCTAACTGAATTAAGAAAAAATCCTGTATATCCACAAAATCATAAACGGACTAAAACAACCTCCATAAACGGTGATGACGTCACCAGACTACGAGAGCGCCACGTGGTAGCCATGAATAATAGGTTATTTTCTTCTACTTTATTTTATTTATCATAGTAAAAGTCAGGTATTAGCGTTAGTTAAAAAAAAAGAATTTTAAGTGAATTTTTCTAACATAAATTGTTGCGTATTATATATGTTTCGTGGCATGTTCGCACTACATGGCTATCACCATCATCAATGAGGAACTACAAAATGGGTGGTAGCAGCAGAGGTCCCAAGTTGGGAAAATCCAAAATCCAAGGATCACTGTGATAATGGTCCATCGCCGTTTTTTCGCAGTGCGCAAAAAAAGGAAAAAAGTTGTGGCGGGTTGCGACATGTGTTTGTCGCGGAACACCACCATTTTTTATAAAGTATACATGTAAAATAAAATGCAAATTTATTGTGAAAACAAAAGTGTTCGACAATTGTGGCCTTTTATTGTTTGCTGGAATCAAAGTACATCAACAACCACGGCAAATTTAGTAATTTACTGATGTATAGAACGAGCAACACCAAATTGAGTAACAAACCCGCAGTGTAGGTCGTAATATATATCACGATGAACAGTAATGTATTATTGATATGTTACTCATATTAATAACACATTAACTGTTCATCAGTCAGTCTATATTGTTATCACCTGTTGTGTGTGTGTGAGTGTGTGCATGCATGTGTGTGTGTGTGCGCGCGTGTATTAGCATCACCTAACATATCAACTTCAACTAAATGAAGAAAAAGAAGATAAAAGAAGAATGACCAATGAAAAACATTATTTTTAGGAACAAAACGAAACAAATCAATACTGATTTCAACTCTTGACACCACTGTTCACTGAGAATTCAGTGTACAATTACTTATAGAACTAGACAGAGGGCACTCACTGAGAGTGCATACCTCCGCGAGCATGTAACATGTATGTGCTCGCTGGTGGCGGCTGCTGACTGACTCGCCTGCTGCTGACTCGCCGCTCACTGGTGGCTGCTGCTGACTCACCACTCGCTGACTCGACGCGCTATCAATTCGCCGCTCACTGGTGGCTGCTGCTGACTCACCACTCGCTGACTCGACGCGCTATCAATCCCGCGGTGGCTACACACACACACGAGACCGATTACACGACCTCTGTTGCGCGGAGGTAAAAATAATCAATATTAAATTCTATTGTAGGAATGCAATATATAATCTGCAAAGTATATTTATAAATATTTTTATGATAGAGGAATTAACATGATTCATCATAATCACCGTACAAAAACGGTAACTCAATAATATATGAATTTTTTCAGATAGCATTATATCACAAACCTAAGTACAGGGTACGAAATTAACGGGAGTTCGGAGTCAAATACTCCCTGATTTACTGTCGGACTGCCTCATTTGACATATGCAGGAGTCCGTGTGACTCCCTGAAAATTCTGCCATACTACTTCGTTCCGGAGCACGGCCTCGCGGAATTACTATTTTTTCAGCTAATGTCCAAAGAAAATTTGGCAGACGTGCAACTGCATGAATCGTAAAAATAAGCACATGCGTTATTGTTAATATCTTTAATTTTGAACCTCAGACTGTGGACTCCCTCTTTTTGAGGGTAGGGAGTCCGTTGGACTCCCTTGTTCAAAAGTTAATTTCTACCCATGTAAGTATCTGCATATAACCTAGCCCGCCCAGGCTGTGCGACGGATTGTCTATACATTGTATTGTAACCCTAGCAATACCGTTTCTTGGAGCTACATATAACCATTCTGGTCAACCCCATAATGTAGAAACATTTAGACTAATTTTCCACTTTCGTGTGATAAATGGTTTGTATAACAACCACAAAAACATAATAAAAAATACCAATCTCCATGCAAGACTAAAATATCATTCTGCAATGGGTCCAATATAGAGGAACGGTAAGTGTTTGGAGTGTGCACCAGGGTTTATTCTAACATGCAACAGAACAAAAAATGTAAAGTTTGGAAGGTAATGTGGACATTTTAGAATGATAAATCTTTTACCATCGTATAACCTGGCCCAACAAGGTTAATAACATCATTTATTTCACAATGAAAAACAGGTCGGATAGCATCTAATCCGAACCCGTTAACTTCCAGAGGTCCAGAGTAGCCCCAAACTACATGTTACAAGGCTGTTATAATCATTTCTGCAGTTGGAGATTTTCTTTAGAACAAACCACGCGGTGACTCGTGATAAATGCTCCAGTATAACATTTTGGGTTTTCAACCACATAAATCATAATCAGATATTTATCAACAGTACGGCATATCTGTGCGATAATTTTACATAATCCGAACTATGAATACACAGCTACTGTACTCTACTCCACTCAATCTCTACTCGGGGCACTGGATCTGCAGAGTCTGTGATGCATGGAATTCCTGCGCTGGTGCGAGAGACACCTTCTTAACCACGTGTCCCACCTCTACACACAGCATGAGTGGATACTCATCATCACCGAAGTCAGCCATCTTCTGAGCGCCGTCCACCCACGGATTCCACACGACTGAAAGATGAAACACAGATATCAGAACAGTGGGAATGCTGATGTGACAATCATAACGTAAATTCAATGAGGCATGGTACACTACGAGATAAAACTGTGTGGGCACGCCAAAGGGATGTCAAGGGCATGTGAATGGCACGTCAAAGGGATGTCAAGGGCATGTGAATGGCATGTCAAGGGCACGTCAAAGGGAAGTCAAAGGCATGTGAATGGCATGTCAAAAGGATGTCAAGGGCATGTGAATGGCACGTCAAAGGGATGTCAAGCACATGTGAATGGCACATCAAGGGGATGTCAAGGGCATGTGAATGGCATATCAAGGGCATGTGAATGGCACGTCAAGAGGATGTCAAGGACATGTGAATGGCACGTCAAGGGGATGTCAAGGGCATGTGAATGGCACATCAAGGGGATGTCAAGGGCATGTGAATGGCACGTCAAAGGGATGTCAAGGGCATGTGAATGGCATGTCAAAAGGATGTCAAAGGCATGTGAATGGCACGTCAAGGGGATGGATGTCAAGGGCATGTGAATGGCACATCAAGGGGATGTCAAAGGCATGTGAATAGCACGTCAAGGGTATGTGAACGGCATCTCAAGGGCATGTGAATGGCATATCAAGGGAATATCAAGGGCATGTGGAGGACACGTCAAGAGTATGTCAAGGGTATGTAAAGCGCATATCAAGGGTATGTCAAGGGTATGTCAAGGGTATGTAAAGCGCATATCAAGGGTATGTCAAGGGCATGTGAAGAGCCAGTGAAGGACGAGTGAGGGGCAAGTGAAGAGTTAGTGAAGGGCGAGTGAAGGGCGAGTGAAGGGCGAGTGAAGGGCGAGTGAAGGGCGAGTGAAGAGTTAGTGAAGGGCGAGTGAAGGGCGAGTGAAGGGCGAGTGAAGGGCGAGTGAAGAGTTAGTGAAGGGCGAGTGAAGGGCGAGTGAAGGGCGAGTGAAGGGC